AGAGTTAAATTTATACCTTCAGGTTAAACAAATATTTTCTGTAATTTTGCTTTTATTTTTCCCACCAATAACCTCCGTAAATTTAAAGTTGGTCATGTTTTTAAAAATGCGTACAATTTCGTTTTTTGTTGAATAGGTATTAACAATCGCGAAAATCGGGAAAAACCGAAAATTTCAAAATTAAAAATTCCTGGCCACCCTGCCTTTCTTTTCTGCTTAAAAATCTGAAATTCGATTATTTGCATCTATGAAAAATGTCGAAGGACAAAATTTTGAATGGACAAAAGGAATAAGGAACAAAAGGTTGAAAGGACAGAAGAACGAATGGACATTAGATCGAAGGGACAAAAGTTCGAGTCGAGGAATGGTCGAATTGTTTAAAGGGACAAAAGGTCGAATGGAAATATGAAAAATGCTCGAAAGGTAAAAAAATCGAACTAAACATAGATGGACAAAGGTTTAATGGACAGAAGATCGAAGTGGAAAAAAGTCGAAGTGGAAAAAAGTCGAAGTGGACAAAGGTTTAAAAAAACATTATCAAAAGTTAAAAAAAAAATGTTTCGAAAATTAACGCCCATGGTGTAAAAAACTTAAAATAAACTCTTCAAATACTCCTAATGATCTACTCATGGTTTGAAGGAGCAATATATTCTAGAGAAAGGCAGTTATTTGTCTCTTAAATTTCAATGACACACTCAGTAACTATTTGTTATTTTAATATTCCAAAGAGTTGCTCATGAAGTAAAGAAGGAAGAATATAAAAGAGTTAACCAGCCTACGCTACCAGCATCTTATACTGAGGGTTTTTATTAAGTGACTCTGGAAGCGTGAAGGAACTACTTGTAATGACTGTCCTATTGCTACTGTAATGCACCGAAGACAGGACAGAAAAAGAAACCATCCAATTTTCAAATGGCCCAGATACAAAATGTTCATTGCCTCGAAAAAAGATCCTGCACACTACAAAAAAATCACGAAGATTTCCGTTCCCTGAGACCAACAAATGTAAGCGGCCCTTTCAACATAAGAATCAGTTGAATGAAACGAGAAAATTAATTAAATCAAATGTTCTCTTCGTCGAGTTGCTTATGTTTCGGTTTGAGAACACTTAATGTTACATGAAATGATTGTTTACGTTCCATGATTTACGTCAAATACGGATTACCTCTCGTTTTTTTTTTTCTATAATTTGTTTTCCGCCGATCTTGTTTTCCGTACTGAGTACCAATGCTACCGACGCCAAGGAGGCAGCTTTCACACCTGGACCCTACCTATCGACCTATCAACTCATATACCGGGGACTAACTGCTTTACTTCTCTTCCGAAGGATTCCGAAGGATTCCGAAGGATTCCGAAGGAAGACGTGATCTGAGATTTTGTATCTCAAAAAATCCCGGCGGCACCGAGGTGAGGTGAGAGGCAATCACGCTTATCGCTGCACCACCGGCGCCGCCTGATTACGTCTTGTGTAAAAGTAGTTATTTCTAAGTGTGTATGCTAATTTTGGGCACATGCTTTAGGTGTGTCGCAAATCGGTTTAAAGTTTGAAATTATTTCATCTTAAAAATGTCCGAAGGTACATGAAATTACGGAAATCGAAATGTTAAATATATTAAAAATGCATGCAACGTGGAGATCTAGTGGTGATTCGATTTTACATGTTCAGAATTTGATAAATTTTCCAAAGGTCCAAATGGCTTCAAAATGCATAAAACTTAGATGTTATCTGTACAATGAAATTTTTTGTCCAAAAATAACTTTCTGAGGCTAAGAATCTTTTCATGAAATTCCGAAAAAAAAAATCAAAGTCCCAGAAAGTTGATTCGTACAAAACAATCGAGTTAACTCTAGATACCGACGTTCCATGCATTTTATAAGTCATTTGGCATCAAACAAATTTCAATTTCTGATCCTTAAAAAACACCCAAATGACAACACAATGTGAATGATCCATAAAAAATATAAATATGATCCATATTTAATGTAAAATTTAGCAGCACAATTGTACCGCAAATTTCTAAAGAATGAGCACTTAAATTGTACAAATTACTCATAAACATATTGCAAATGATCCATAAAACATTCAGCAATGAACCTTACACTAAAGAGATTGATCCATAGAAAATCGAGTTTGCGTACTTAGAGATACCTTAAAGAAAACCTAGAAGATATTTAAAAAATAAAATCCATCACTGTTCATGACAGCAGCATCATATTCTATAGGTATTTATCTTCTTTTCCTTTATTTAACGTCGGTCTCTGTTCCGCAATCAAGTGCCAATCACCGACGGACATCGATTGCCATCCATTGACGGCAACCGAATGTGCAGGAAGGCATCTTCCACACCTGCGTAGGATATCGCATCCATTCACAACGCACATGGGCTGGGATCAACGGCTTTACTTCGTTAAGACGTGACCAGAGATTTTTATGCCTCAGAAAAATCCCACCGACCTCGGCTGGGATTGAACCCAGACCCATTGGGGTGTTAGAAAGCAGTCACGCTTGCCACTACACCATCGGCGCCGGCTCTATAGACATTTAATATTCACCCAAATTTGTAGAAGTAGTGCCGAAAGTCTAGTTAAATTTTAAACTTACAAACATTTCTGCGATCGATGAGAACAAAACCGAAACAAGATTTCGTTGTCTGCCCTCTTCAACTCCCAAGCTTCCAACAAGTAAATTACAATAGAATATTTGTCACTGATGGATCACGCATTTATGGATCCACTGGCTTCACGCCTTCAATGAGTACTCAACCGCCTTTCAGAAACTTGAGGATCCTTGTTCCGTTTATGTTGCTGAGCTAGCAGCAATCAACTTCGCATTGGGGACGATTTCCGACATGCCCATATCCCATATTCTCGGATAGTATCAGTTCGATTGAGGCTATTCGGTCGATGAAACCAGGTAGGCACTCATATTTAGTTCCTTTCAAAGGTAAGGGAGCAGATGAGTTTGCTGGTCGAAAGATCATATATGATTACCTTTGTATGGATACTCTCACATTGATCAATCCCAGGCAATGAGAAGGCAGACTCTCTCGCAAAGGTGGGCGCACAACAAGGAGAGATTTATGATAGAAGAATTTCATATGATGAATTTTAGTACGTCAGAGTTCTCTTCCAAGTAGGCAAAATGATTGGACAATTAATTCTCTTGGGCGGTGGTTACATTACTCCAATTGTTTCTTCGAGAGCGTAGTTCAAAGGTCTGGATGTAAGTCGGGCTTCAGTCGCGTGATGTTAAGACTTATGTCCAACCACTACTCGCAAGACGCACATCTTTACACAATAAACCTTGTTGACAGCAATATATGTAGGTGAAGAACCGGTTATGATGACATCGATCACGCAGTTTAGTATTTCCCGGGTAATGACGCCTCTAGAGCACGACTGTTGGATACCCTAGTGGCCCGAGGTAGACAACCCTTCCGTGAAGTAAGAGATGTATTTGTGACCCATGATCTTCTCTACATGCAGGCGATCTACGAAATCCTTTGTTTGTCTGATGTTAGAGTTTGACGTGACCATCCCCTCCTTCCCAAAACAATTTCCAGCCATTGTGTCCCAGTCTTATTATCCTTGTGTTTCTGTGCTACTTTCCCCTGCTCAGAAAGGATTTGGTCAACCGTCCGAAATTAGTATCTGAATTAGGCTTCAGAAATAAATTTCCTACCTAATGCCTTCCAATCAAAATTGTTACCCATTAACCTCGAGCCCGCCACGAGTAATTGGTACCCAATACTAACCTAGAACTACTGCTGTTTAAAATGTAAATACAGACATAACTGATTTTTGGCTCCGCAAAGTGTCACACACGACTGGGCCTAGTAAATAAACGAACTAGTTAAAAAAATAAAAATAAACTCCCAAGCTACATCCTGCTGTGCTAATTCGATGCCATCTCTCGTATAATGACGTGCAAATTGAGACCGAACTCCCTACCTCTACCCAGCATATCAATCTCCGAAAAATTCACATACGCCATCCTGTCCACGAACCTGTTTTAAGTACCGATGATGATCGACAGCTTGATGATTAGCAAAACCAACCTCCTACTGCGTGCCACAGCAAACAGTGAGGTGTCATGACCGAGGGTCAATGACAAACAAACAAAAAACAGCTTCTCAGAATCTGTTCCCCCCTCCCACGCGCTCGAACCCAGTCATTCACACGCAAATCCAACGTTCGTTAGATTGACCTCCAAATGTTGCGCTTCCTCAGCACTTTTCAGTTTCGCTCGGTCATCTTTGCTCTGCTTTGCCGATTCGAGATAAGCAGCAGATGAAAGCGAAATTACACCCTGAATCGGCACGAACTCTCCCTTCACTGGGGAGTTAATCGAAGCCAGCCTCCCCATATGGACCCGGTTGCAAACCTAATGCTGCCCATTAGTCAGCTCAGCGATTAAATCGCAAGAAAGAAAAAAATCAATAAGTCTACTTCCAACTCCGCGAAAGATCGGATCGGCATTGCTAGGAATTAATCTCGATTGACTATGTTGCCGCCCTCCAATCTTGTGAAGAAGAGTGAAAAAGTAGCAGTCATCTTGTGCTGTGCAAGCACGGTGGAATTACAGTAGAAAATCAATTAAATTATGAAAAATTACAAACATTGTTGATTGAAAATTACAACTGAAAAGCGAATTTCCTACGCAGCTTATAAAAATCAAAAATTTCACTGCTTATTGGTTGATGCTCCGTTTACACTTCTCCCGTATTAAAGATAGCTCGCGATCGTTGTTCTAACTTCCCTCACAGGCGGTCAGAATCATTTGTACCCTCGGAGCTTTCAGCACATTTTTTCCACCTCCTACAAGCGAACACCCAGTCGAACAGTCAGACTAGCCTGCGGTTGTAATTTTTTATTGCATCATAGTTGCTCCTCCTTCTTGTGGCGAACAAAAACCGCATCAGAATCCCATCCCATCCCATCCCACACTTCCGATATGATCAGCAGCAGTGCATTAAACTCGACCCTTCTTGTGTTGGCAGTGTGTGGCAAGCGAATGTTCCCGGAGCCCCGAATCGTCGGTGGAACGAAGGCAGCCTTTGGACGGTGGCCGTGGCAAATTTCCCTCCGTCAGTGGCGAACTTCAACCTACCTGCACAAGTGCGGTGCCGCTTTGCTGAACGAAAACTGGGCCATCACGGCGGCTCACTGCGTGGATAAGTATGAAGATGCTCCAGGTTCGGGAGTTTACCAGAGTTGAAGTGATCTAATCGAATCGTTTCTGATTTCAGTGTCCCGCCGTCGGATCTGCTGCTTCGACTAGGCGAGTACGATTTGGCACTGGAGGAGGAACCCTACGGCTACCAGGAGCGACGGGTGCAGATTGTGGCCTCCCATCCGCAGTTCGACCCACGGACGTTCGAGTACGATTTGGCCTTGTTGAGGTAATTTTCATTTTTAATTGTATTCTTCTGATCGGTTTGTTTTGATTTCCATATTCGTGCGGAGGTGGAATCGAATTTGATTGGGATTTTAATGGGTGACATTAATTTTAGGTTTTACGAACCGGTGGTGTTCCAGCCGAACATCATTCCGGTTTGCGTGCCGGAAGGTGATGAGAACTTTATCGGACGGACGGCGTTCGTCACCGGGTGGGGTCGACTGTATGAAGGTTAGTAGGAATAATTAGTTTCTGTTGGTGAAGGTTGACTTTTTTTTATATTGAATGACTAAGAACACATAATTTCAGTTGCTTTTTAGTGAACAAAACCGATTTCTTTTTTTTTTCGAACACCAAATATCATAAATTTAGGGGTTGAGAGTATTCAAAACATTCAACACACTAGAAAAAAGAAAATATCAAGAACTTAAATGTGTTTCGATAATCAAAGGTAGAATACCATCACCAATCCAAAGAGACAACTTTTCCCGTAATTTTCCAACTACTTATTAAAATATAGCGTTTATGGGGCCAAGTTTCTGCAGTGCTGTGGTTGTAGGTGGTCATAGGTAGTCATTGACTATTTATCAGTAAAAACAAAGAAAACTCAATTAATTATCTATTACCAATGAATTTATCTCAATTAATAACTGTGTAAGTATATCTACAGTTAGTTGAGAGCACAAAATAAGCTAATATGCGATAAGCAATAAGCTTAAAATGCGAAAATGAAGAAAGAAGATACAGAAATTTCGACAAATTCAGGAAAATTCCAAGAAAATTTCTGGGACGTAAGGGTAGTTATATTAACATCAGGAAAATGTGAGAATATTTTGAGAATTTTGTATGACTATCATGGAAATATTATTATTATTATTTATCTTTATTAGGGAGGCTTTCAGCCTTGGGCTGGTTCACCTCCAAGGATCATGGGAAAATCAAGAACTTAAAAAAAATAATGAAATCTAACTGTGTTGATACGAGAACTTCGAGGCAGTTTAATTGATTAAATACAAGGTGTCTTCAAGACATTTCTGAGCTCTTCAAAGAAATTAAGAAACCTTTACTTAGTTTCATGATATTCAGAAAATCCTGAGGATAGGAATTTGTCAGATACTTACACAAAGTTCGGTGGAATTATGAGATGTCCCTAGAATGCTACGAATGATCCGAAAACTTCATAAGCGTCAGGGAATTATGAAAATTTAAGGAATCTCTGAGAGGCATTGAAAACATTAGTGATGTCCAGCAAAGTTCAAGGGACATTAGTGATTTAAGGCAAAGTTCCGTGAGTGATTATGAATTTATAGCATAATTATGCAATTTCAATTGACTTCTTTTAAATTCCCAGACAACCAGAAGTCGTATAAAAACGTACACACATTATCGTAAATTGCTACAGTTTAAGTCAAAATCGTATGGCAAACCTCGCATTATGTTTAAGTTAAATCGTATAGAATGCAAATTTTCGACTTATATACGATGACTCATTTTTCTGTCGTACTGTATCACAAATTAAATCGGATTTCATCGTAAGACTTTTTTAAATTGATTTGTTATTATAGATTAAATCGTATATGATGATACATCAACTCGTTTGCAATTATACGAAAATATGCACGTATATGGCCTCCAATTTTTGTATGTATAAGCAATTTCTTTGCATTCTATACGACTGGTTTGTTTGTATATATGTTTGTATATCACGAAAACAACTTTGAATATACGTGTATTCTGGTTGTCTGAGTTGCGGGTACTTATAAAAATACTGAAAAATTCAGTCAGTCTAGAGAACTTGAACGAAACGTATGGCATATGGGAACGAAGGGCACGTCTGCAAATGTTCACAACAGTTGACTAAGAAGCTCTGGGCAATCGATATTCGACGTTAGTAAGTCACTGACGAAAGAAGCTTTGGCTGCATCTCTCCTAACGTTGAGTGAATTAAGATGAATCAACCTGCATCAATCAGCATAGCTCTGAAGATTAGTACCGTCATTCCAGGGTAGGTGACGTAGTGCGTAACTTTCGAACTTCCGTTGGACGGCTTCAATTCTATTTATTCCGTTTTGATAATACGCGGCGCCCACACCACAGCAGAATAATCGAGTGTAAACGCACTAAAGAGCAATATAATGCCTTCAATGAATCAATACACATCCTTGAAATGTTTGCTGAAACGGAAAATGAATCCCAATTGCGATGAGGCTTTTGAAACGACGTATAAAACTTGATCTTTGAACGTCAGGGATGAGTCTAGAAGTACTGCTCTCACGTTTTAGAGAGGTACAATTTAAAACGTATTCGTGGAGGGCCAGTGCACAGTGGTCCAGAATGATTTAGGTGGAAGTATATGTTTTAAGCCTTAAATTGAAACTTAAGACTAAAAATCTCTTTACAAAGTTGTTCCTTATAGTTAGGCCCTCATTAGTGAATGCACATATACCTTAATTTCTTCAAACTAAAAAGTTAGATTGTTTATTTCAATGATAAAAAGAATAATTCTTGAATTCATTGTCATATGAGGGTCTAACTATAAGGAACAACTTTGTAGAAGAGACTTTTAGTCTAAAGTTTCAATTTTAGGCTCAAAACATTTCCTTCCACCTAAATCTGCATTCTGGACGACTTTGCAGTGGTAGCTTACGCCCAAAGGAAATAACAGAGCATTTAGAAGCATTTAAGACCATACGATTCGTTTTGCACCAAGCAGCAAAGGCCTCTAGTTATCCTTGAAGAAAGAAAGCGTCACTTGGTTTGTTGATAACAGGTCGTCAGCTTTAGATTTTTTGGGGCATTTGAGGACGTTGCTAACATCATTCATGTATAGCAGGAAAAGGAATGGACCGAGATGACTGCTTTGTGGTACTCCGGACTTAACTAGAAACGAAGACGAAACGTGATCACCAAGCTTGACGGACATTTTTCGTCCAGTCAGGTACGAGCGCAGCCAACAGTAAAGGTTACCGTCAATTCCTAATCTGTCAAACTTAGCCAGGGAAATTTCGTGATCCATTTTATCAGAAGCAGCTGACAGATCCATATAAATCGCATTTACTTGCGAGCCTTTCTCCATTTGGCGAACGACAAAAGAAGTAAATGTCACAAGGTTGGTGTCAGTCGACCGTTTGGGAGCAAATCCATGTTGATCTGATGAGATATATTGGGAGCATTTCTGTGATTTAAGTCCAGGACAATCAGTTCAAAAAGTTTTGACGACGCACACAAGGCGGCAATACTTTGATAGGTAGATACAGTACGCGTGCATCCTATTTTATGAACCGGGAAAACCAATGAGTTTTTCCAGCAGCTAAGAAAAGCACCAGAAGCCAACAAAGAATCAAATATTGATGCTAACGGAGATGCAATTGCATGGATGCGATTTTTAAGAATAATGGCTGGAATGCCATTGGGGCCAAACCTGGTGGAACTTTTCAATCGGTTTGGTGCGGGTAGGACATCATCGGTTGTTATCGAATGTTGAGGACCAATGGCAGAGGCATTGACGATTTATTGTAGGCTAGCTGGTTCATTTAAGAAAATTCTGGTATATTGTTCACGAAAAAAGGATGCAAGTTTATCGGTAAGTGAAACTTCTAATTCACCATTGGAAATGATTGACGAAAGCCCGATCTTTTTTCGTTTATCACTAATATAGCGCCAAAATCCTTTCGGTTTCGATTTTAGACTCCGTTGCAAACGATTTTGATGTGCGTGATATAGCTGATTATTCAGTCTTTTATAAACCCTATTGGCTGTTACGGTAACGTGGCTTTGACGACGCAGTTTTGTTGTGCTGATTTTTTTTTCAATGCTTTCCTTTAAACCTTTTTTAGACGCTTCAAACGAGAGTTGGTCCAAACAGGGTAAAATTGTTTTTTACCCATCTGTGATTTCTATATGGGGGTACACTTTGTGAAAACCGAAAATGGAACATCTGTTTAAGCTAGGACTTTATCATTTTTCAAAATGTCCCTATTGAAAATTGCAAGAATTTACCCACATGACCATACAAAGAACGAGAAAGAAGCCACACAGCCAGGCATCCCAAAAGTACCGCCTCATGACAGTATTCCAACAGATGTCGCTTTCTTTTTCCTACAACAGCCTTGAGATTGAGAGCTATAAGCGACAGCCCACAGTAAGGCTGTCATACGACATGCAATGTTGCCATCTTGTGCAGTACACGACAGCTCGTTCTTATTCATGTATTTTGTTCGTTCGGCTATGACAGCCTCGGATGGTCATTCGTAACGTTCCTCGTACATACAACAAGCAGTTTAGCCGGCGCCGGTGGTGTAGTGGTAAGCGTGACTGCTTTCTCACCCCAATGGGTCTGGGTTCAATCCCAGCCGAGGTCGGTGGGATTTTTCTGAGGCATAAAAATCTCTGGTCACGTCTTCCTTCGGAAGGGAAGTAAAGCCGTTGGTCCCGGCCCATGTGTGTTGAATTGAATGGGTGCGATATCCTACGCAGGTGTGGAAGCTGCCTTCTTGCACATTTGATTGCCGTCAATGGATGGCAATCGATGTCCGTCGGTGATTGGCACTAGATTGCGGAACAGAGACCGACGTTAAATAAAGGAAAAGAAAGAAAAAAAAAATACACAAGCAGTCCGTCAAACTGCCGATTCGTTGCAGCTGTCTTTTAAATTTTGTTCGTATGTCGGGAGACTGCTACTACACTACCAGTGTGACGCCAAAGCTCGTTCGGTTGCTATCACGTTCGTGCTGCCCATTGTAAAATTTTCATCCGATATTTTTTTAAAACGCGCGGTCTTGAGCATATCAGACATTCCGACATTCCGGCGAAAAATATAAGCCTACCCGACACCAACCTGACTTCTACCAAACCCCAACCCGATTTTGACCCGACATTCCCCCGACATAAACACAGAATTGACCCTACAACGACCCGACATTTGGCCAACGTCAATCATAAATTGACCTTACATTGATCCGACATCGGGCCGACTTGTCTGTTCGGGATCATTTTTCTGGGTTTCTTGTATGGTTTCTTCCATACTCCACTGCCGTATATCAATTGTATATAATGTCTCGTGACAGCCACTTGGGTAAGCTGAGGGATGTCGTCGGTTTGTGAAGGCTGTCATGACGACAGAAACATTGAAAACCTGGTCATAAAGAAATGTATAAATTCAGCCCATTCGGTTCACTACGTTCCGAGCACGATGATTTTAGCAAAGCGGGTATAGATGCGACTGTTCTAAT